CAGTATTAAAGCATTCTCTTTGCCCTCTCCCTAGACACTTACACCTTCTTTTCTAGCCATGGCTTACCATAATTTCCTGGATATTTAGCGATGTTCTTAAGAAGCAATAAACAACCTCATCCAATATCCAGCAACACATCCTTTTACCTCTTACATAATTTCTCCATTTGTTTATGAAGGTTTTATTACTAGGCTGTGAGTTGTTGGAGAGAAAATATTTCCTTGGTGGAATAAGCAGGCTCGATTGCTGATTGACTAACAGATGATGGAGAAGGGGTGTCTAAGTCGATTTCCAAGGGTCTGGACTGAGAAACTTGATGGAGGGCAGCACTGGCTTAGGAAATATGAAAGGGAAAACACGTTTGGAAAGCAAGGAGGAAGGTGTGGTTCTGCCCCTCATGAACCCGTGGGATGTTCAAAAAGGAAATCTCAGAGGCACAGAGACAGATCTGAAGCTTCAGGGGCAGAGCTGGCGGGGGGGGGGGGACACAGATTTGGGAGCACGTAGGTGGTCATGGAGGCCATGGGAACGGATGAGAACACCCAAGGAGAATATGTAGTGCTAGCCACATGCTCTTCTACTCCTTTTTAAACGATTATCCTAGAGCAGGGGTTAGCAATCTATGGCCTATGGGCCAAATCGAGCCTGTGGCCTGTCTTGCAAATATACGTTTATTGGAACGCATGCCTGTTTGTTTATGTACTGTCAGTGACGGCTCTGCTTGAGGACAGAGGGGCAGAGTGGTGGCCACAGACGCTGTATGACCGGTAAGGCAGGGAAATAGTTACCACTCGGCCTTTTACAGAAGTGCTAATCCCTGACCTAGAGGTTACAAGAGGTACCCGTGCTTTATTAAATTTAATATCAGTAAGACAGTTAAGTCCGTTGTCAGTTCATTGCTGCTCTTTCGCAGCTAATGGATCTGCTTGTTCTGTTGCTTCCAAATTTGTCTCTGCCTTTGGTTCTTATCAGTGTTATTATGATGGGCCTAGGTATAGCTTTCATTAAATTTATCTTATTTGGATTTTGTAGAAATTCTTTTTTTTAAAAAATAGTATATCAGTATTAAAGCATTCTCTTTGCCCTCTCCCCCTAGACACTTATACCTTCTTTTCTAATCATAAGTTACAATAATGGGGGGGAATGCATGGAGCCCAATGTGGGGCTTGAACTCACCACACTGAGATCAAGACCTGAGCTGAGGTCAAGAGTGGGATGCTTAACCAGTTAAGCCACACGGGAGCCCATTATAGAAGTTCTTGAACATGTCACTTAATGTCCTTAAATGATCTTGGAAATATAGTAATTATACTTTTGAATAATATTTCTGCCTGTTGTCTGTCTCCTCTTCTTTTAGAACCCCAATTACAGGGATGTTCAATTGTGTTAGTATGCCCCGCATTTCTTTTACGCCCTTGTCTGGATTTTCTCTTCCTTTTCATCTCTATGTTTTAGCATAGGTATTTTATACTGACCTATCTTTCAGTTCCCTAATTTCCATCTGCTCATTTTTTAGTAGATTCCAAGTTTTTGCTGAAAATTGCTATCTTATTATCTATTGATCACAGCTCTCTTCCAGTCTGGATGTGGCACCTCCAAAATCGAGACCTCCTGCAGGTCTATTTCTAGATCTTGTTCTCCTTCCCTCCTCCCTCTTCCTCCCCTCCCCCTCTCATTCTCTCGCTCTCTCCCTCCTTCTCTCTCCCTCCCTCTCCTCCCTTCCCTCTTGTTTTTCTTGTTTCTGGGAATGCCTGCTGTTTTGTTGTTTGTTTGGGCTGAATACTAACATTAGGTATGAAGAATCCTACACAATTGGAGTGTACGATATGAGTCTTTGGGTAATATTAGCTTTTTTAGAGAGGACTTACTTTTCTTTGGGGTAGGCTTTTAGGACAGAGATGAATTACCTTAATTTTGTCTGCATGTGAGTTTATTTGAGACTGCTCCATGCTGATGCAAGCAGTGGTCTATTTCTGGTCACCTCCGTTTCCCAAGGCTCACCTCCGTGGTGAGCCACAATTCCAATTCCTTTGTCTCCACGTAGATTAGACTGCTCAGAATTCTACTTAATATCTCCATCTTTTAGTTGCTATGTCTTGCTTAGCTTTCCGGTGGACCAGAGTTTATGGGTCTGCAGGTGCTTTGAGGAAGAATGCACTAGAGACTTCCAGCTCACTTCTCAATGCCTTCCTTTCCTCTGGTTTTTAGTGCTTCGGGTCCTTACTGCCTTGGTAGCTCTGTTATCATCAAACCATAGCTGAAAGTGCAGATCACTTAGTTGTTTTTTTTAAACACAAAAGAAATATATGTTTGCTCTATCAAATTAAATAATACAGACATATACCAGGAACAGTTTAATAAATCCCCGTTCCCAATCTGTCTCCTTTATTGAAGTAACCAATGTTAAAGTCTGCTGAGTATCCTTCCTTTTTTTTTTTTTTTTTTATACTCACATATACCAATATAGTGGTTGCCAAAGACAATTAGCTTGGGTTTGTTTTTTATTTTTTTTTATTTTATTTATTTATTTGACAGACAGAGATCACAAGTAGGCAGAGAGGCAGGCAGAGAGAGAGGAAGGGAAGCAGGCTCCCTGCTGGGCAGAGAGCCCCATGTGGGGCTTGATCCCAGGACCCTGGGCTCATGACCTAAGCCGAAGGCAGAGGCTCAACCCACTGAGCCACCCAGGCACCCCTTGGGTTTGTTTTTTAAAAATTGTATCATGCATACACGATTCTGCAATTTGCTTTTTATTAAGAACTGCATCAGTGCATAAAAAAATGTATATAAGTGCATGATATTCCATGCTATATATATGTCATATTTATTAAATTGTTCTCCTGTTGCTAGAGATTCAAATGGTTTCTATTTTTTTCTAACCACATAAATACATTGCTACTTTCTCAATTTTTGCCAGTCTACTAGGTGAAATATGTATTTGATTTTACTCCAAGGTATTTAGACAATTTTAAAAAAATGTTTATTGGCCATGTGCATGTACTCCTTCGAAAATTCTTGTGTCTATCCTTTGCCCTTTTTCCTACCGTTATCAAATTTGTAAGACTACTCAATATAATTCATGATATAAACCCCTCATTCGTCACATATGTTGCAAATATTTTCCCAAAGCGTGTTTGCCTTTTAAAATGTTACTTATGGTATCTTTTCTGATCTGAAAGTTTTAATGTTTACATGCATAAAATGCCCATGTTTTTGTTATGACTTCTAGACCTTGTTTTAAGGCTTCCCCACTTGAAGCTTAAACAAATGTTTTCCTAAAGTTGATTTCCTAAAATTTTATATTCTACATTTAGGTTTTTAATTTATCTAGAACTTTTTTTGTACATGGTATGCTTTATGAGTCTCACCTGTTTGCCTTCAGATGCCAGTTCTGTCAGTGTAACTTATCAAATAAACCACCCTTTTCCACTTGGCCAAATATTAAGACTGGTAACTACTTGAACCAATTTTGGATTCTGTTTCTTTGATCCCTTTGTCTATTATTGTGCCAAGCCCATCATTTTTTTTTTTTTTTTTACTTATTTATCTATGTTAAATAAACCATCTTTTAGAGCAAGTTTAAGTTCACAGCCAATCTGGGAATGAAATACAGAGAGTTCCCATAAACTCTCTGTCCCCATACTTTGTATTTTTTATTACATTAGATATAAAGCAAATTGTTTTATCACCCATCCATCTTTCTGTTAGAATTTACTTGCGTACTCTCAGCTATTCCTCCACTGATTTTTAAAATCATCATATATAATCATCATATAAACTGGGATTCTGGATGACATTTCATTAAATATGTAAATTAATTTGGGAAGGGCAGGCACTGTTATGACATTCTGGCATTCTTAATTTTTAAAATTTGTTAAAGATTTATTTATTTATTTATTTATTTATTTGAGAGCGTGTGTGAGACTGTGCAACCATGGGTGGGGAGAGGGGCAGAGGGAGAGGGAGAAGGAGAGAAGCAGATTCCCCACTGAGCCAGGAGCTGGATGAGGAGATTAAGGGGGGCTCAATCTCACAACCCTGAGATCATGATCCCAGCAGAAATCAAGGAAATTAAGAATCAATTACTTAACCAATTGAGCTACCCAGATGCCCCTCTATCATTCTTAGTCAGTTGTCACTACACTTAGACTTTTTTCACATTTTAATAAGGATTCATAGTTAGTTCTTTAGGTCTTTTGCCTTTCTTGTGAATTTTACTTCTAGGCATTTTACAGTTTGATTTTTTATTAGAAAGTGGGATTTCCTCCCTCCTGACATCCAAATTTCTGTTGATTAAAAGTAAAACTACTAATTTTGTACTTTAATTTTGTGTCCAGTTACCTTATTCAATTTTCTTTTCTTTCTTTTCTTTTTTTTGGCATCTGAAGGCATGCCTAGCACTAGTGTGTGCTAGTTTGGGGGGGGGGTGGGGAGAAGAAGGAGAGGGAAAGAGGGAATCTCAAGTGGGGTTCCATCTCATGACCCTGAAATCATGACCTCAGCAGAAATCAAGAGTCAGATCTTTAACTGAGTCACCCAAGCACCCCACCTTATTCCATTATTTTAATAACAACAAGAACTACCAATGGGCCAGGCATTATTCTGTTTTTTATGTATATTAACTCAATCCTCAATATTTCTAAAAGATAGGTACTATTATATCAGTTTTACAGATGATGAAACTGAGACCTAAGGTAGAATATCTTAGTCTTTCTAGGAAAACAATATTCTAATCCTAAAAGGAAAATTTTACTATTTACCAATATTTAAAGTAATTGTTTTATTTTATTTCCTTATCATATTGGCTAAATTTTATAAAACAATGTGGACTCACAGAAGAAATAACAGGCATTTTTCCTTCTTCCTGATTTTAATAGAACTGATATGAACAGAAATTATAGGTAAACCCAAATGTACACTGGTAATTTGATAAAGAATTATGTGTGCAAATAATGATATAATAATAATAATGGAATAAAATTTTAAAAAATTAAAGGATTTATATGTGCAAGTAAGAAACCCTTGGTCAATCCTACACCCTGTTAGGATTTTTTCCCTCCATAGAATACCCACCCAACAGCAGTTTAAGCCATAGGAAGTCCAAAAGAAAGTTATCTCAGGGTAATTTAGCAGCTCATTAAAAATGAGTCATTAAAAATGGGAGAACTTCCTGAAATTTCTATTCAACTGTCCCTGGCATATTTGACTTTTCCCATGATGTTTGTAACTTAAGGATCATGAGATGGTAGTCAAAGGTCCACAGCTGGTAAGAGGGTTAAATTCAGGACTACCTGTTCCATTCTGTTAGGGGAGAAAAAGTTGTCACATTGCCAAACTGAGTGTCAGGGTTGCACTGGGTTTCACGAGAGCTCCTGTAGCCAGAAGGTGGCCATTGTGGGCCTTTCTGGATCATTGCCTTTGGACATTAGTTATGTCTCTAAGGTTCAGAGGCTAAGTTCAGATGGAGAAGAACATGTTTCTGTTATGATAAAGAGTGAAAGGGAAGGAAATCCTCCCATTTGCCACAACGTAGATGAACCTGGAGGGCATTACGCTAAGTGAAATAAGCCAGACACAAGGGCAAATACTGTATGACCTCACTAATATGTAGAATCTAAAAAAGTGGACCTCCGGGAGCCTGGAGTAGAATGGCGGCTGCTGGGAGTCGGTATAACCTCAGTTATAAGAAGAGTAAGTTCTGGGGATCTGATGTCCAGCACAGTGACTACAGTAAATAACACTGTATTGTATGCTTCTTGAAATTTGCTGAGAGTAGATCCTAAGTGTTCTCCACACTGGAAAACATATACATACATTGAGTCATCACACTGCACACCTTAAAATTACATTGTACAAAGTAAATATATACAATTTCTATTTGTCGATTCTACCTCAATAAAGCTGCCCCCCCCATTTTCTTTTTCTTTTTTCTTTTTTTAACGAAAAGAGCACAGTTGAGACTCCCAGAAACAGGCTGAGGCTCTAAGGCGACTCCCCCGCGGACAGACGGAAGGCAAGAACCAGACAGAGCGAAAGCGGCAGCGGCGAGGTGAGCTGGGCGCGCGCTTCGGGGCAGTGACGCTGGTGATGGGCCGGGATGGCCAGAGTGAAAGGCAGTCACCGGGGACCTGAGTGAGCAGCGGCCCAGCTGCCACGACAGCAGCTTCACGGGTGAGGGGAGGGCGAGGATCCGTCTGGCCCCGATGGCGCGATTTATTTACTGAAAGTCACGGCACACAGCGGCGTTCCAGGCGGAGACCCGCAAGGTTCTCCTCCCGGCGGACGTGGGTCAGAGCCCACTGTGGGGGGGTGGGGGTGGGATGTCCATCAACAAGCAAACTCCGCCGCCTTCTTGTCAAACTTCAGATGAACCTAAGTGGTGTGACGAGAGCTCGAGCCAGAGGAAAGGCTGGAGAGTGGCCGTGGCTGTGGTGGGGCCGTGGTGGTGGCCGTGAAGGTGGGCTCCTGAGGGTGGGGGGTGGAGGGGAGCGCGAAGAGCAGCGACTTCCAAGGCGCGGCGGGCCGGCCTGGCCTGGCGCGGGCTGGAGGACAGGAGGGGTCATCCGGGCCCCTGGGGTCACCAGCCTGGAGCCCCCCGGGGGGGGGGGGGGGCCGCAGGCTTGATCTCGGCTTCTCTAAATCCTTCCTGCCTGAGACACCAGGCCCTCCTTCTCCCGGGTGAGCCGTCCTCTCCTTCTGCCGGGGCGCCCTTGCCCACCTGCCAGGTGCTTAGCCTACAGCATGGTTGTCTGCCTATAGTTGGGAAGTCAACAGAGCTAAAAATAGCAGAGCCTGGGATGGAGCACAGTGATGAATCTGCTAAATTCTACCGAGAGAGCCGAGAGCTGGGAGCGGCAGGGAGACGGGAGAGGCCCGGAGCGCCCCGGGGCAGTCTCTTCCCTAAGAAACCATCACAAGACTTCTGGTCTGGATCTTTGGATTATTCTGCCTTTGTGCTTCTTTATGGGAAGAAAGCAACTCCTGCCCGGTTTGCTCCTTCTCAGGATGGCAACTGCACCAGCTGTTGTAACAGCGTCTTCCTCGGTGATGCTGATGAAAAAAAGAGAAGAAAAACAAGATATTTACCTAATTATGGGGACACTATTTGTGGTTGGGAAATTACACATGCAGGAAGATATGAGGAAAAATCACCCAAATATCACCACCTAGAGATAACTATTATTAAGGTTTTTAGTTTTCTATAACTATAGTTAATAATATATTTGGGTCTACCTGACGTCATTTGGGAGCTACAGTTTTGTATCCCAATTTTAAATTTAGCACTAGTTAGCAATCACTTTCCCACTGACAGTATCTTCTGTAGGTCCCCAGACTGGGCTCTAGGCTCCAGCCATACCAAGGAAAACAAGGCAGCCCGAGGCTGGGGTGGGCAAATGCCAAAATTATGTCCCATGGGGTTGTTTTCTGAGGTAAACAACCGTGGTGTTACAACCTTGGTAGTTTCCTGGCTTTCTTCCCCAATTCATAAGATGATGTCGCCGGAAGAGGACAGGAGAGACTCAGAGACGCAGAGACCAGCTTTTAGAGCAGAGGATTTTCTTTGGTGGGGAGGTGTCAGACTTGTGCAATGCGTGATGCATTGCTGAGGAACGTGCACACACACACCCACACAAATGGCATTTAAAAAAATTTCTGACCACCCATATCGCGGCACACATCCTGATTTTTGCCCTCGTGACTGGGCCTTTCTAACCAGGGAAGCTGGCCCAATTCGTAGTCATGCGAGGTGAGGAGAGCTGTCTTCAGCGAGGACCCTGTCATAGGGAAACTGTTCTCCGCCTGACTTGGAGCCATAGACTTTGGCCGCCTCCTTCTTTTAGTCCCACACGGGCCTCTTAATGGTATTTGTAATGAGTTCAGCCAATGGAACATTTTAATCAGCTTCTGTATTCTTACAATTTGGGTGTCTTTGTTATCTTTGTCATTCTTACTGTGGCAAGGCTAAAGCAGGAGCCAAACATAAACCCAGCCCACTTCTTGACGGGCCCCAGTCATAGCATGTGTGTGACTTTATTGTCCTTTCTTACTTATCTGAGTGCGGAGGGTCTCGTGAAGAACCGTTATCACACAAGGAGCAGGCCCTGTCAGCTGCCCGCCCAACAGTCACGTCCTCCTTCTTCAGTGTTGACCACAGTAAGAAGGAAAGAGCTAAAAAAAAAAAAAAAAAAAGCACTGAAAAGGTAGGAATAAAAAGGCTGAATAAATACAAGTTGGGACTGGTCGAAGTCAATCATGGGAATCTTGAACCCCTTTGCTAGGGGTTCAATCTTGAGCTTACTTTTCAGCCTGCCTTGCTGTTTGAGACAGCCACGTGATTCAGTTCCCATGATGGGCACAGGACAAAATCTGGAAAATACCTCCTTCCTGGAGAATAAGAAGGGTGTTTTTCCTCTGCCCCCTTTTTCTCATCTTTGAATGCAGTATGAAGACCTAGTGCCTACGGCTGTGGCGGCCTAGCCATCTGTGACAGTGAGGTGACAGCACGAGGGTGAAAAGCCCCCAGGCTCAAGATGCTGTTGTTCAAGTGTGAAAAGGAACTAGATCCTGGATGACATTTTTGAGTTACCAGTCAACCCTAGAATTGCCCACTTTGGGAATCTTTCCTAAGAAGTAAGAAGATTTCTCATGGTTTAAGGCACTCTTTCTTGCAGGTGAACCTATCCTAATTGATACAGGCCAAGGATGGCCAGTGCACGAGAGGCTCAACTTTTCTGAAAGGCAGCGTCAATATCGTAGTAACCGCTAAATTACAAACCACAAACTCAGTGTCAGGAGTTGACCAGCTGGGTGAATAAGATGCATTTTTCTTTCAACTGGTGGAAGCTGATCCTTCCAGAAGATGGACAGATTAAGATGAGGGAGTGAGCAAAAGGAATCATCCGGAATCTGTATCCCATAATCCTTGAGCACAGTTAACGTGGCATACTTTTTTATACACATTTTTTAAAGATTTTATTTTTATTTATTTGACAGAGACAGAGGGAGGGAGACAGCACATGCAGGGGACTGAGCCATCCAGGTGCCCACTCTTTTTCTTAAAGATTTTATTCCATTATGAGAGAGAGAGAGAGAGAGAGTACAAGTGACAGCACAAGCAGAGGGAGCAGGAGAGGGAATGGGAGAAGCAGATCCCCACTGAGCAGGGAACCCCACATGGGGCTCGATCTCAGGAGCCCGATATCATGACCTGAGCCGAAGAAGGCAGCCACTTAACTGACTGGGCCACCCAGGCACCCTGTGGCATATTCCTTAGGCTTCTCTTAAGCCTGAAACATGTTTTTGTCTTTTTAAGATTTTATTTATTTATTTGTCAGAGAGAGAGAGAGAGAGAGAGAGAGAAATGCTGCACTAGTAGGCAGAGTGGCAGGCAGAGGCAGAGAGAGAAGCAGGCTCCCTGCTGAGTAAGGAGCCCAATGTGGGACTCGATCCCAGGACCCTGGGATCATTACCTGAGCTGAAGGCAGATGCTTAACCGACTGAGCCACCCAGGCATCCCTATGTATGTTTTTTACAACACCTAATAGAGAAAAGTGAACCTACATAGTATAGAAGCAGGGAGTCATACTCACAAATAGAGACCTCTCAGAGCGTTTGGTGAGCACTAAGGAAGAGCCTGAGATATGCCTTGAGCATGCGTTCACCCCGGAGCTGATGGTACAGAGTAATGCAAATTCAGGATCAAAGGAAATTAGAAATACCACTTGATTTCAGCTACTTTATAAGGAAACATTTCAGTTTCCATCGGTTTTTAGTGAGTGGTTATTCATTTTGCAAATTCATTCACTGATGGGTTTTTTTTTTTTAAGATTTTATTTATTTATTTGACAGACAGAGATCACAGTAGGCAGAGAGGCAGGCAGAGAGAGATAGAGGAGGAAGCAGGCTCCCTGCTGAGCAGAGAGCCCGATGTGGGGCTCGATCCCAGGACTCTGGGATCATGACCGGAGCTGAAGGCAGAGGCTTAGCCCACTGAGGCACCCAGGTGCCCCTCACTGACAGTTTTAAATGGTCATCGGCCTCACAGCATCTAAATTGTTGTTGGGTTTATACAAAAACTGAATTATGGAATCTCTTCAGGAATATGGTGTTAAGGAAAGTTCCTGAACTTTGAAGTCGGACCAACAAGAATTCAAATTTTCTGCTTTTAACTAGATGTGACCTTGGATATAATCCTTTACTCCTTTGAGCCTCATTTCTTAAATGAGGATAATAAGGCCCATTGCAAAAGACTGTTCGGTCATTTACGCGAAGAATGTAAAGTACAGATAATATGTACAGATAAATGGAAAGTACAACACATAGCAGGTGCTGATAACTAGTAGCTTCTCTGTCAGTTACGGTCTAATAGGAAATAGATGGAATATGCAAATTAGCATGTTTTAACACTTTTTTCCCCCTGACAAATGGATTTATTTCCAAAGGTACGTAGGGGAACCACATCTAGGAAAAATTCCCAGGTTAAACAAACGAAGCTGCTGTTCAAATTTAATTCACAAGGGTGTGTTTGTCACCTCATTGTTGTCTTAGCGAAAACCAGGAAACAACCCAGATGTCTGAGTATAAGACATTGATTACATTCGTACAGCTGAATACCATAAAACCAATAAAAATAGCATTGTAAAAGTAAATGTATTGACACCAAATATATTAGCAATATAGTGCTAAGTGGAAGAACATATTGAAAGATATTATGGAGAGCAGAATCTATTTTGTTAAAATTGTTTTTATAATCTCAATTTATATCTAGATATTATTTAAAACCAGACCTTTAAGATTTCCTTGGAATCTTTTGTAAAGATCCCCCCCCCCAAAAAAAGCCAGCCTTTTTTCAGTCCTCAAAGAGGTAGAAAGTTGATTTCATATCTTTGGAGGGGAACTGGGGGACTTGACCCTTAACATGACTCAGATGATTAGATGGGAATGGCCAGTACTGTTTGGTAATAGGCTGTCTGGAGTGTGTTTGCATCAGAGCTGTCTCTGAGACTTTGTAACTTCTTTGGGGCGTGGGTTCAAGGTGAGGGTGGAAAAGATACTATTGCCTGCCTGTGTGAATTTAGTGAGCACAGCCTTGCCAAGTGTTGCTTGTCCCTTTTCGATTAATCTCGGGCAGGATATCTAGAGCTGGGAAACTGAAAACTGCAGGAAGGACAGGAGGCAGGATCTTCCCTTTAGAACAGAGACTGTAAAGAGTAATTGGACTGGCCATGGTTTAGCTCAAAGGGGGCCAGATGATTGATGTCCGTGTGTGGAATTACTTAAGACAGAATAACCCAGAAAGCACAGCGGCTGGACTATTGTGATCTGTTCTCATTGTCTGGCTGGGGCCACACCTCTGAGGGCGGAGGGAGGAAGTTTCCTCTCCAGCAGAGGATGCAAACTAAACTGGCTGCAGGGTGACAAGCAGTAATGACAATGATTGGAAACACGCATGCCAAAGAGTGTTCGAAAGTTTTACTTGAATTATCATTTTAAATACTTAAAAACCCTATGGAAAAGATACTATTGTTTGTGTAATTTTGTAGATGGAAGAATCCTGTACAGAGAGGTTAAGGAACTTGTCCAAAGTTAAGGAGCCGGTGAGTAGCAAGGATGGAATTTGAACCCCCGTCTGGCTGCAGTCAGACTCTTACCTTATGGTCTGCTGCCTCTCTGAAGCGAGGGTAACGTCCTTGAGTAAAGCTGGCTGGACATGAGCAAAAGGGAGAAGGGGAACTGGGCAAACTGGGATGAATGTCCTGCCTGGACAGACAGCTACTGGTCAGCAACCGCTACTGTGGAAGAAGGTGGGCCCGGTGTTATCAGGTCCTCTGGGTTCTCAAGAGAAAACAGAAAAGTGGATTCCTAATTTTAGGGTACACTCCTAGCCAACACACACACACATGCACGTATGTGTACACACATGCTCATATTATCATGGACCAGTAATTTCTGTACCCTGTATTAAAGAGATTGGACATTTCCATGTTCAATCATTCCCCAAAAAGGAAAGAACTGAGTAGATGAACCTTAGATGGGAGGAAGGAAAAAAACTCCTCCATTTATTATGTTGTTATTTTAGGCAAGTTAATTTATGTCTCTGAGCCTCTGTTTTCTCATCCATAAATTGGAGGGGAAAACAGTATTATCTCATAGGGTTTAGGTGAGGGTTAACTGGGGTGACCAACTTTTTAAAGCGCCAACCTGGGACACAGCCATATCAGACTAAAATATATACAACATATAATATATATTATATTATAAATGCATGTAATAAACTTATTATATACAATGTATAATCATAATTGGCATAATTATGTTTTATTACTTTAACAAAAAATTTGGAAAAGAGGTGTTTATTTGAAATTATACATCATTCTGTATTATTTACTTTTGTTTTTTAAAAAAGATTTTATTTATTTATTTGAGAGCTAGCAGAGTGAGAGAGCATGAGTGGAGGGGAGGGGCAGAGGGAGATGGGAAAGCCGACTCCCTGCTAAGCAGGGGGCCGGATTCAGGGCTTGATCCCAGGACCCTGGACTCATGACCTTAACGGACTGAGCCACTCAGGTGCCCCTGTGTTATTTACTTTTAAATACTTTTAAATAGCATGTTATTGCTATTATTAACATAATTATGTTAATTAGAACAATAGCAATCTGTCCCAGCACCATTTGTTCAAAATACTACTCTTCACCCACTGAACAGTGTTGGCACCCTGGTTGAAAATCAGTCGCCCGTAGGTGCGTTGGTTTATTATGTATTATAAGACATATAAATGTAAGACTTTTTAAAAGAAACATGTACACCAATAGGACTAATTAGAGAAGTATTACTTATATGTAATTAAAATAATGATGACTTCTGTCCCATATTTTCACTGTTTTCCTTTTCCAATATTACTTACAAACTTTAGAACATCCTTTTTTTTTTTTAACATAATGGTAAAACTGAGCGGTAAAACTGAGCAGTAAAACATAAAATTGGACTTTGATTTGCAGTTTTGCTCTTACCAGGCCCACATGACTCTGAGTCTAGGTATTAGTCCGATGTGATGACATCAAGCTAAATGTCATCTTTTTTTTTTTTTTAAAGATTTTATTTATTTGACAGAGATCACAATTAGAGAGGCAGGCAGAGAGAGAGGAAGGGAAGCAGGCTCCCTGCTGATC